CTTTGATTGTAAAAGATGTAAAATGAGTTTATGATTTCATTTATGGGTATTTTTTTAATATTAATTTTGGCAACCAGGCAGTACTTAATTGGTTAATCTGTTTTTCTATGTTCTGTTTCTGTTGATTGATTGATGAAGAAGTGTAGTGAGAAAAAACAGATTTTGATATCTTAATGTTGGTCTATAAAAAAAAGCTAAAAATTTTTTATTGTTAACTAGTGTATACCTCTGTTTAACCGATCTCACTTAGTGGGATAAAGCTTTGTTGTTGTTGTAGTATATACTTTTGTTATAGTCTGCTACTGCATTGTGACGTAGATAACTTATGTCATCTATGTTTATGTATCACTTATCTAACATTGAGAACCGTAGTAACTGTTCCCTTTGTTTGGTTGTAGTTCCATGGTTTTTTCAATTGTATAGTAATCTTCGAGTGTATTTTCTGTCCATAGTCACTTAATCAATTTTGTTTGGCCTCTTAATACACAATAAATGGTGACACAACTCTGTGTCTGCTATGAGCCTTTTCCCATTTAATCTGCGTTGGCTGAATAGAAATTTGGTTATTGTTTGAACTACTGATTGTTCAAGGGAATAATTTCTTACTGTGATTTTGGCTTCATTGCTTATCTGGTTGTTTTTTGCCTTTTAGGTTGAGGAGAACATCTGCAAGTTTGCGAAAAAGGGTCTGACACCCTCTCAAATTGGCGTTATTCTTCGTGATTCTCACGGTATTGCTCAGGTGAAGAGTGTCACTGGAAGCAAGATCTTGCGTATTCTGAAGGCTCATGGTGTGTATCTTGAATTTATTTTCATAATAACATCTATATTTTTTGGAAAGAAATTTTGAAAATGATATCTTATATTTTCTTTTGGTGTGGGGAGGTCTTGCTCCTGAAATTCCTGAGGATCTTTACCACCTGATCAAGAAGGCTGTTTCAATCAGGAAGCATTTGGAGAGGAATAGGAAGGACAAGGATTCTAAATTTAGACTGATTCTGGTTGAGAGCAGAATCCATCGCCTTGCTCGTTACTACAAGAAGACAAAGAAGCTTCCACCAGTCTGGAAGTAGTAAGTACTTTTTCCTTTGTCACAGAAAATTTAAGTAATCACAGGTTTCAGTAATCTTTGCACGGTAAGGTAAGGCTGCTCCTTTGTGACCGAAAGGTCACGGGTTAGGGTCCTCTTTGCAAAGCAAGGGTAAGGCTGCGTATATTAGACGTTCCTTCCAACCCACCCCCCAAAAAAGAAAAGAAGCCGCAGGACTCTTACAAAGCAGGGAGCCTTGTGGGCTTGTGGTTGCCCCTTCTAGGATTTGGTAATCTCACTTGAAGATGCGTACATGGTTCATTGCACTCAAACACTTCAAATAATTATCAGAGTAGTTGAGTTTGGAAGAAGTTTAATAGGGGGTAGTGCTTGTTGAATCTTACTAGTTCCCATTGACTTAGCTCTCTTGAACAAATTGTGTGTTGTATTGCATATAGTTAATTCGTTCTCTGCGTTTCCTACATATTCAAAATTGGAATAACTTTTTATACGTGGGAATCTAATATCGGTACCCATGATGAATGAAATTTGTGAGTCATGTCAAATAGCAGTGTTTTGGTTTTCCTCCTAGTTCATATTTATGCTTGTTATAGCGTGGCATATGTCATTGTTAGGCTGAAGCGGACCTTTCTATGAAATCGTTTTCGTTTCCTGACTTCTCTACCGGAAGTTTAATCCCAACTGTCATTTCTTATGCTTTTAGCGTTGCCTGAACATGTCTTCAGCAATGAAATTGTAGTGGCTACCTTGAATGCTTATTTCTTTCTTCTCTTGTTTGCAGCGAATCTACCACCGCCAGCACTCTCGTGGCTTAGGAAGGACGTGATTGGCAACAGTTTTCGGTGCTCCTCTTTATGTACTTTTAGGAGAGTAGTACTTGAGTTTTAATGTCTTATTTTCTTTTATTTGCTTCAAGTTGGGGAACTTAATATCTTGTGGAACACTCGTTCGTTGTTGATGCGCCTTTTGGATATTATGTCAAACTATTTAGGACTTGTTTGGTACTCTACTTGAATCTAACTTTTTAAACTCAAAAATAATTTCCAAGGTTTAGGTCTTGAAAACTTGTTTGGTAGGATTATTTTAAAAAACTAAACTCAAGACTAATTCAAAAATGTGATCTATGATCTAAAAACATAAAAGTTGAGTTTTTAAACTCAAATTCACTCCTTTCTTTTCTCTTAATTCTTCCCACTCCAAATCTCTCTCTTTTTTTCTTTCTCTCTTTTATTTTTTTTATTAACCTTTTTACGTCTCTTTCAATCCGTTTTTTTCATTATTTCAGTTCTTTCTCACTTATTTCTCTCTATCTTGTTCGATCATCTCTTCTTTCTCCTTCCTTTAATCATCTCTTATTTTATTTCCTCCTCTCTCATTCTTCCTCTCTTCAGACTTCTTTTTAGATCTTTTTATCTAGTTTAAATCGTAAGATTTAAAAATTTTAAATTACAAACTAATCAAGTTTTTAAGTTTTAAAAAAAATTATTTTCAAGAAATGTTTAGAGAAATGATAAATTATTTTAAGTAGGATACCAAATATGCTTTTAAGTTTTCCCTTTATTTATGCGCATTTTTGTTTGGAAATTTTAACGAAAAATCTACAGTATTGTTAACTTTAACGAAAAATCATATTTTTAAAGTTAATTCTATTATTATTTATTTTATTCTTTATTTTTGTCCTTATCATTAAAATTTAAAGTTTTTAAGAATTTTTCATTCATTTTCATTTTTTGTTTAATGAGCACCCTTAATTTCTATAACCCAATTCTTTTTAAAAATAATTTTACGCACTCCTTTTATATATCTTCACGGTTCACACCCCTTCAGTTTTGGCCATATGATTTAATTAGTCAAACATGAAGAACGGATAAAATTCTACAAAGGGGTGTGATAAGTTATTAAGAGTATCAATTTTGTTTCCACATTTAGGGCGTGTTTAGTAATTTGAAATCAAATTGAGAGGAATTAAATTAAGGAGGAATTGGATTGAAGAGGAATTGAAATAAAATGGACTCAAAATCAGATTTCTATTGAAGATGTTTACTAAGCTATCTGGAATCAGATTAAGAATGATGTAGATTCCATAATAGCTGTTTATTAATTTACTTGAATCGGAATGAAAAACAATTTAATTACTAAAATACCCTTGTACATAAACAAAATTTTAATTTTTTTCAATTATTTTGTGTATATAAAACTAATACAATTATTTACCCTAAAAAATTAAGAAATATTTATTAATTAAACTACTCAAATTTGTGTGCCTCACACTGCATACTATTTACAGTAAAAGAAAATCAATATAAATTGTTCTCCAGCAAAACAAAGAACACGTCAGGGCTCTGGGTTTCTGTGATTTCTGTGATTTCATCATGAATCTTTGCTTCCTTTTCAATATTTTAGGTCTTTTCTCTCAAATTCCATGCGGAATCTGCATCTCGTTCATCTTCTCCGGTGCGACCTGAAGTTTTTGCTCCAAATTCATTTCCGTCAAACCCTAACTCTGCTTCAATAAACATTGGCAACATGGTTCAGATCAAACTGAAGCGCAATAATTACCTATCGTGGAAGTCTTGCCAGTCGGAGTCTGGTCCGACGACAATCCCGGTCTTTGATGGCGGTGGCGTCGGGGAAGTTTTGCTGGTCCAAGATCAGAAATAGAGGGATAGAAGCAGGTTGAAGGGAGGAGAAGATAAGGGTGTTTTGGGTAGAAAAACCTGATTCCAGATGAAGGCTTCGTCCCGGAATCCGAATACTAGCTATTGTTCGGTAGTCTAATTCCGGGAATATTAGGAATTGGATTGCTGATTTTGAGTGGACCCCGCGTAAATTTTTATTCCCAAATGGATGGTAAACGCTGGAGTCTCTTGGAACGAGTGCAACTCCCATTCCCCTTGTTCCATTCCGGTTTCGTATAAATGCCACTAAATTCTCACGGCTGAAGGAAGTCACTGCTAAGAACATGCATGCAATTGCCATTATCCAAGGGGACAATAAGAAAGAGAAATTTAAAGAAATGCCCTTTTAGTAGAACCGAAAAGACTTGCTCTCAATTTCAAAATTCTTGGATCATCTTCTTAGGGATGTCAAAAAATTCACATCAACACTGACATTAATAAAAAATATTGCTAATGTTTTTCAACCGAAATGTCAATTCGTATATGGCATAATGGCAGCAGAGGGGTTGCTAATTCTTTATTTTTTAAATCAATGAATTGCTTCGTGAATAGACATCCTACAATGCTTTGTGAACATGCTACAATTTTTTGTGTTTCAACAGAAATTCTACAATGCTTCGCGGACAAAAATATTCTTAGAGGTGATGATTATTTAGTTGGATTTTCATTTCTTCTATTTTCTCTTTTGTTGGATTATTTGTATTAGTATTCTGTTGTTAGAGTTATTTATATATACAAAACTTAAAATAATAAAACAAATTAAAGAAAGAAAATAATGTAATAAAATAATAATTTAATTTGACATATTAATTGGAAAGCGAAACTTTAAGAGATGTCAAATTGTCACATAGGAATTTGACATCTCATTTAGAGATGATCTTATAACTCCACCCCTTTTTACATGTCAAAGGACTTAATTAACTTTTTAAGATTTAGGCCAACATTTTTTTTAACCAAAAACTGCTTTACTTTAAAATTAGGCAGTAAAAAAATGTTTGGTAAATGTAAAATTTCCTGTTTATTTTAAAAGCAATGACCTCTAAATAACAACTTTTAAAAGCAGCCTGCTTGTACCATTAAAAGATGTTTTAATAAAAAGTTGAGTTGGGCCTTTAATAAATATTTTCAATTATTATATAATACCTTTGTCAATTTTTTGAAAATAGCATATTTACCCTTCCATCCACATTTTATCTCTTAGACAATAAAGTGATCGTTACCACCTCCGACTACCATTGTTGCCACAGTCACCACCACAATCACTACCTCCACTATTGTGACCACAACAACAACCGCCCCCTAACAGCATTGTCACCATCACCACCACCATTACTGCAAACGCCACCACTGTCACCACAACCATAACCGCAACCACAATTTTCATTACCACCATTGTCACCACCATCATTGTCGCCATCCCCACCACCACAATCACAACCGCCACCACTACCACCGCAACCACAATTGCCATTACCACCATTGTTACCACCATCATTGTCGCCATCCCCATCACCAATACCACCACCACAACCACAACTACCACCATCGGCGGTACCACTGCCTCTACTCCCATTGTTACCTCTGCACCCCAATATCACAACGCACTATTGGCATCACCACCGTACCTTCACCATTGCTGCTACCATCACCACCACTACCAGCATTTTTCCCGCCATTATTGTCATTGCCCTCACTGCTACTACTATGTCCAATTTTGTCATACAATTATGTCACTTTTGCATTAAAATTTATCAAAAACTTTTACACTGCTTTTCAAACTCACAGCACTTTTAAATGGAGTTAACCAAACACTCATCTACTTTACTTTATAACTGATTATTCTTAAAGCACATTAAAAACATTTGTTTTTTAAACACAACAATCCCAAATTGACCCTTAATTGCCTTTAACTCTTATTTGAATACTAGGAACCATCGCAATCTTGTCTTTCTCCACTCACACAACAATCAAACCAAAGAAAAGTCAAATTCCGACATCGTACTTCGTGTATTGACAAACTCTTTGTCCAATTTCTTTTTCATAGATTATTGGCTTGCTAATGAATTATGCAACTGCCTGTCAACAAGAAAAAGAAGGATACAAAGATTTAGCAAGAAAACTAAGAAAAAGAAGGATACAAAGATTTAACAAGAAAACTAAGTAAAAGTAGTAACACATACTAGAAACCAACACACATAAACTCCATCAAAGAATACAACAACAATAACAACAAAACCTTATTCCACTAAGTGACGTCGGCCGTATGAATCCTAGAATGCTACTATGCTCAGTTCTGCATCAAGTTTTTCCTAGCTCAAAGTATATGTCTTTTCTTAGAGTCTCTCTTTCAAATCTTCCTAGGTTTTCCTCTACCATTTTTGCCATGAGCCTTTGTCTCACAATCACATTTTTTAACTGGACCATCTGTAGGTCTTTGTTTCACATGTCCAAACTACATTAACCGACCTTCTCTCATCTTATCTTTACCTTACCTCGGATATCCTCGTCCTTAATCCTATCATTTCATTTGTGCTCACACATCCAATGAAGCATTCTTGTACATGTTAATACTTAACCGCCCAACATTCATGTCATAAAGCATTGTTTTCCTTATTGCTATTCTATAAATTTCCCCTTGAGTTTTAGTGGCAATGACGGTCCGACAATACACTTAATGCACTCCTCAACATCCATCCATCTTGTATTCTGTAGTTTATATCTCTATCCAATTCTTTGTTTTTTTGCAAGATAGATCCAAAATAACCAAAGCGTTCACTCTTTGGTATTTCTTGAACTTTAATCCTCAACCCTATCTCATTTGGGCCCCAATTCCCACTGGACTTGTACTTCATATACTCTATATTTGACCTAATTAGGTGAAGACTTTTATATTACAACACTTTGATGCGAGAATTATACGCACACAAATTAAACCCTCTTTTTGTCAATTGTAGTGAAGTGTATAAGTAGGGATCGTTCTGGACCGGGGATTAGGAGGGATTGTTAATCACTTGGATTTGACTTAAAAATGTAAAAACACAATATAAAACACTATTTAATGCTCGAAGAATGCAAAACTAAAAATAAGAAAGATTAAGACTAAGACTTCAACGAAATAGGGGGGAATTGGATTTGGACGAATTTAAACTAAAATGGATACTTGGAAACAAAACAAATTGTAAATATGGATTTGACGGAAATGAATGGATGGGAAGCTAGCTAAGGGGTTCATCTCTATACATGTTATACTTGCATACAAAACGATTTCTAATTGCTTTTCAATAAACCATGAATTCTCAACGCCCCGGGTTAATTAGGTCCGCTTAAATTAACTGTCAAGTTTTCCTTAAGTTAATGAATTGGATGATTGCATACGACAATCCAAAGCATTCCTCACAAGTTCCCTACATGAATTGCATAATAGAGATACAAGCAAGAATCATTAAGCAACATGAAAACTATAAGTGTTGACGAGACATTCGTTACTATGATTGCATGAAACTTATGCCAAGAATTTGTTTAACGCGATTGTTTATAAGCAACCTCCACTACTTGTGAATATAAGTTCATAACTATTACGTGAAACTCACTTATATTCTAGCGTCATATTCATGCATGAAAATTAAGCGTTCATTCTTAATAAACATACATAAATAGGATATCAATCAAATAGTTAAACAAATTGAATTCACAACTTATGAAACGTAATTAAAAGTAATCAAATCATATTGCAAGCATAAACATATATTTCGAATCACCCCCTAGCTAAGGGGGGTTTAGTTCCTCATACTTACAAAACAAAGAGAATTGAAATTAAACCTTGAAATCAAAGAAACACCTAAACATTCCAACAACTCAAACTTGAATTGTATGAACGTTTAGGCACTCTTCTCTTCCTCGTTGTTGTAGCACAAGGTCTAAGGATAGGTTGTATGATGGTGTGAAGTGTTTTGGAGGGATGGGAAGTGGTTGGATAGTGGTTGCAATGGAGGAGAAAAACTGCACAGAAATGGAAGGATATGCACGGCAAAGGTTTGGGAAATGGTGTGTTTGTGGTGTGTTGTGTATGAAATGAGGAATGAAAAATGAATGAGAATGAAAGGGTATTTATAGGGAGAGAATGGGTGAGAATGGCTGTTTGTTTAAGCATGCAAGTGGCTAATTAATGATGAACAAACAGCTAGGAAAGCATATGCAAGCTGGAATTGCATGTGAAGGTGTGTGCATGTGCTGAAAATGCATTGAAAGCCCACGGCAAGGATATTCTCTTGCTTATTTTCTGTCTACATGATGAAAGGTTAATGAATAATGCATGTAGGTGGCTGCAATGATGAAGAATGATGGCTGGAAATGGCAAGGGAAAGCTGGAAAGCATGTGAAGATGTTGGAATGTCAATGTGAAGTGCACGGCAAGGATTTTCAGGATGGGTCTTTGTGTTGTGTAGTGTGTTGTTGTGGTATTGTTGTTGGTTAAAGCTTGTGAAATCATGATTAAAGATGCATGTGAATGAAATATACAATGGGAAAGTATGTGATTGACAATTAGGGTGAAGTGGCTGCAATGATGAAGTGTGATGGTTGAAATGCAAAGGAAATGCACGGTTTAGACTTGTTGTTTGTGTGAAGTGTGTGTGAATGCATGTGAGTGGCTGATTTGTGTGTTGGGAAATCATGTGAATTAAAGGGATGAAGGTGGGTTATGCATGGCATGGGTAGGAGTGGAATGATAGCTAGGTTATGATGATGAATGCATGTGGAATTGCAAGGAGGGAAGGTGCAGAAAATGGAAGGGGATACACGGCATGGGTAGTGTTGTTGGTGTGTGAATGCATGTGTTGCATTGGTGGTGCAATGATGAAAGAATAAGTGCATGTGTGTGTGAATGGTGGTAGCTAGGGTGAATTATAATGAATGCATGTGGAATAAAGATGGAGAAGGTGGTGTAATGATGCATGGTTGTAGTTTAGGGTGTTGAATATGGATTTGCATGGCTTTTGAAGTGATTGTGGGTTTTGGAATTAGAAGGAAATGCATGGCCTTGGGGTTGGTTTAAGAGAGAATGGGCTAGGCCCTTTGTTTTATGTCTAAAGTGAATACAAGGCCTTCAAATTCGTCCAACATTTTGGCTCCAATCATATGTTATCCATTCCAAGCCCAATTTTGCTCCAAAATGCTCCAAAATGCATCTTTTTGCTCCCTTAGCCATATGAACCTAAAAACACACGAAAATGGCTTAAACTACTAAAACAACTATGAATTAACAACATAGATGCATGAAAACAAGCTAAGTAAGTCGCCTAAATATGCTCCTATCACACTTCCTACTATAGGTTTAGCTTCACATTTACTCTCTTCTGTTTTTCATGTATCAATACTATATCATCTACAAAAAAGTATACACTAAGGGACTTCTCCAAGCTCCACTGCCCATGAAAAGGAGAAAGGTCAAAGGTATTAAAGATATGATTAATAACCAAATCTTATCTTAAAGTTTTCACAATCAAATTTAATCAAGGAAACTATGAGATAATCTTAATATATTATTAATTAAATAATATCTTATGGTAATTCTCTTCTGCATCCAATGAATCACACATTTTGGCTAACTGCACGTCGACAAATGGCATGACAATGCTAAACATGTGGTCACCTATCCCTCTATAAATACCTCATTCTACACCAATTTCTGTCAAGATTTTGCTAAGCAATTAATCACTAAACTTTCTTTCTTTCTTTCTTTCTCTCTCTTTCTTTCTTTCTCTCTCTCTCTCTCTCTCTCTCTATCTCTATCTCTCTCCTCCCCTTCTCTCTCTTTTTGAAGAAACTAACTTAGGCATCAGAGATCTATGAACCAAACCTCCTACTCCATTGGCGCTAGCTTTAGTCATCATAGTGTGTTTAATTGTTTTGTAGGTACAAATTCGTTAAGACTGAATTCTAGGGGTGGGTAAACAGGTCCCTAAGCTCATGGGTAGAAGAAGGTACTAGTGATTTAGGGCGGGTCTATATTATTTTCTGTACAAACTAGGTGGGGCGTGTCAAGTCTAAGTAAACAGCAGGGTAGGACGGTTCCAATTTTCTGAAGACAAAGGCCCCTGACCTAGACTGTATCCAATAAACATATATCGCTCAAATCTCACAAAACACACATCTTACTCGAGTCTAACCTCACTCAGTCACTTTCTTGAAAACTCTCCCACACTCAGACTTAATCTTTTCTCTTCATTCATCCCTCTCGTATCTCAATCTATTTCCCAGAGTCCAGACCGACTTTCATCCCTCTCGATTCTCAGTCTTTCTCTGTCGAACTCGTAAGAACGAACGACGAAGTCAGTCTCTTTCTTTGTCGAACTTGAGGGGACGTGTGATGAAGTCGAAGAACTCGAAATGACGAATCAGTCTTATATTTATCGAATTTTAGAGAGATCATTTTTAGAGCTCCAAAGATTCTTCAAAACTCTAAATTGACTGTATCTGCCACTTTTTCAGTGCCCTATAGAGCCCTTCATTTAGGGGATGCTCTAAGCATTTTACATTTATCCCCTTCTAAAGTTTTCCATTATTCAAACTTATCTGATATT